TTACCACCACAGAGACTTGAAAACGAGGTCTGGGAGAGGCTTGGGGAACGCCTGCAGGCTTGCGGGAACTGTCCACCAGAGAAGTGCTGACAGACTGCAACCTTGGAAGCTTGTAAAATCACCCTCTGGACATTGAAAGACCACAGACCAGTTCCCTTTCCTCTTTCCTGATATCTCTCTCCCTTTTCACCATCTTGTTCTTTTCTTCCTTCCTCTCTGTCTCCTACTTTCTCTGTCTGGTAACTATGGAGATTGGGGCAGGGGGCGAAAAAATGGCCCTTGGAAAGGATAGTATCTAGAGAATAGTATCCTACTATCTGGGAGAGTATCGAACCTTTGCAGATGTTTAATCATGCTGGATCATTTTTTTCCTTTCATTTTACTTCTCTAGTAAAAATTTCTTCTTTCTTTCGATTCCTTCCTCTTTTTCTCTATTTTCTTTCATTTAATCCCTCTTTCTAAGTCTCATTCTTCTTTCTTTGGGGAGAGTCACCATTTAGACAAGAAAGAAATTGATTTCTACCAGATGATTCCTTTCCTTTGAGAGGTCAAGCATTTTTTTTTGTAATGTCTATGCATTCACTAGGAAAAAAAAAAGCAGATTGCAGGACTCTATAACTTTTCCAAGAACTTCTCTCTATCATTATCTATCAAACAGGAAATTAAAGGCACTGAATGTGCCTCAGGGTCTTAATGGTTTGATTCTGTTGAGTTGTTATATTAACAGATGACTATTTGTGGGGAAGAGAGAGGTTCCCTAAGGTATGAGGCATATATCAATAAAATCTTACTTTGAGTTTAAAAGAATGCAAGGGACAACTGCAGAGAACATAAGACTTTACAAAGCACTTTTATTAAGAAATAATAAATACTAGGGAAATATTAGGGAGTATTAGGGTATTAGGAAATATTAGTAAAAATGACATCTCATCTTTTTATGTCTTGCCTGGGAAATGGCGAGAAAAAGGAAAAGAAGGAAGGGGGGCACATGGGGAAGGAAAGAGAAACAATGTATAGTCTGCTGCAAAATGACATTCAAAACTTCCATCTTTGCAGGTGAAGAAAACAGTTACACAAAGATAAAGCTAATGCTCATTTTCAGATAATGACACAGGAACTATGATGAGCAGAGAAAAGCCTTTCAGAAGCCCTCCTTTTCCATGCAAAGCCCATTCTCATAAGCAGCATTATACTTATATAATATATAAGTATATATATACTTATATATACTTATATACTTATACTTATATATACTTATAAAAAATATTATTATTTGGGGTTATATCATATGGACTGAGGCAAAAAGAGAACTGACGCAATATGAAAACTTTTTTGAACAACTGTTTACCTTGCTGTTGTTTTTCAGCCATTCTGTTGTGTCAGACTCTGTGATCCCATGGACCGCAGCACACCAGGCTTCCGTGACCTTCACCATCTCCTGGAGTTTGCTCAAACTCATGCCCATTAATTTATCTTATGAGACCTTAAGGTCAGGTGGGACTGTGGTTTCTGTATTTTAGAGAAGGAAGTAGAATCCCTTTTCTCTCAATAGATGTGTAATTTCTGGAGAAAAGGAATGGCATCATACTTATACTTGTGTCTCCAATGTCTATCACAGAGACTGGGATAGAGCCTAGCCCAGAAAGACACTTCACATTTATATTCATAAGTAATACAGTCAGTTAGCTAAACTGAATGGTGACCAGGATGAGGCAAGGATAGGGCTCTGGAGATTGCTAAGTGAGAAAATATTATTATTTGGGGTTTCTGCCTTGAAAGCTCAAATAACTCAGCACCCTTCAAGCCATTACTTCATTTGGGAAAATGAGAATAGTTTAAGTATTTTTGAAACAGTCTGGCTTAAATACAAACAAGGTTTTAGACTTTGTCATACTAACTGTTTTTCAGGAAACAAAATAAATATCCATCCTAATAAGTTTATTTTCAAACTTCCCAGATAATATTGGAATGAATGCACTTTCAGAGCCTCCAAACTGACATACCTCCATGAGCTTTTTATTTTTTTCAACAACTATTTAAATCCCACTTTCATTGATAAAGATTCAACTAAAATCCTCATTTTATATGTTTCCTTAAATCATTATTATAGTCAGTAGAGTTTGACTTTGAGATCATGGGGACAAAGCTGTTTATTGTCACATCTCCAGTGTCCAGTATCTTATTGGTTGCTTGATAAGTATTTGTTGGTTGAATGGGACAATGGTTTCGGTTTTTCATTCATTTTTATAAACGCTTTTTGTTTTATGATGCTTTACCAATATATAAACTGCTCCTACATTTTATATAAACACTTAGCAAAGAGGAAATAACTTTAGAGAAGTAATAACTGATCTCATAGCAAAATGAACAGTTTATCGAAAGAACTACCCCAAGAGTAAAAGAGGTAAAGAGGTTCTTATAATTGATGAACCCACTCCCCACCATGAAGTTATGAAAATAACCAAGGCCATATAAAAGTATCAATCATTTGATGAATGCATATTTACTAAACACCGCATGTGTCTCATTTAAAATGCATTCTCTCAATGAGATAGAAATATACAATGTGGTAGTTATTACTGTGGCCATTTTATCTGTGAAAAAAAGATTTAGAAAAATCATGTATTTATAAATGATACATCTAGTTTTGAAATCCAGCCTATACAATACGCCACTTTCCCACATTTTGTTCTGTTGTCATGTGTCAAAGAGTGTTGAAGAACTTCACTGGAGAAAGGCTAGAATAGAAAGCTCCATTATTTCCATATCTAAGATTCCAAGGTGGGGACCTTATATCAGCCAGCAAATAATTAACCAACTATTAAATAAGATTATAATATAATCATCAATCCCATTATACAAGGCTTTTAAGAATTATCTTATTCAAACATACTCAGCAAAATAAAATGGAATAGACCCTCTAAAAGTATTAATTTATTTTCAAAGAGGTTTGATTTATTTTCCAAAGAACATTATCTGCCAACCCACATGACTTAGGTATTTCACTCTATTGACATGGTTCTCTCAGAAACTGACTTTGTTAAACTGAAACACCAAATGGAATAGAACTTAAAGGAAGTTAAACTAATGTAATTCTCCAGCATTAAAGAAAAAGTGCTTGTAATTATACCAATTCCCTGCAATATGATCTGAAAATCAGGGAAAACTTAACAACATAAAAGAGACTTCTTTTGAATGTCCTGGGTTGAATGCATATTCAACAACATTCTGCACACCAATAGCTTATCTTATTTGATTATTAGCTTGTATTTAATTTCCCCTGGCAAATAATTCACCTTTGTAAATAATCATTTTGCACTGCAAAGCAATTCTCATACATTTATTGGAATGGATTTTAAACAGTAGCCATCGCTAAGAGGCTACTGGAAATATAATTAGAAGAGTGAGTAGCTACATGCGTGGGGGAAGGGTCACAAGTTGTGTGAGGAAAGGAGCTAAAAAGTTAGTTACTGGTGCTGTTCAATTACATACATCTTCCAGACAGCCATGCAAACCTTCCACAACTCTCAGGCCTTTTCGGGGGTTTTAAAAGGAGCATGAGGCTACTGTTTAGTATGATCAATATTTCTGGAACTAACTCTAAGGTAGAGCCTATCAGATTAAGTAAAAAAATAAAAATAAAACATATATCTCTGACAGTAACTTTACCATTAAATGATTAAATGAAAAACATCATAGGAGAATGTTAAAGCTGTGGAGGATTATCTCGTCCATATCTTTCATTTTATAGAAGAAAACCTCGGGTCAGAGAACGGAGATTCTCTAGCACAGCCAGTATAAGACTTATGATTTTGACTCCCAGTTTTCCCATTAAACCTACGCCTCCTCAGAGCATCATCCATGAAGTTGACTGTGCATGTTTCAGTAACCTTACTGCCTAAGGTGCTTGTCAGCATCTGGAGCAGTCACTCGTGTTATCCTTCAGAACAGAAGAGATCGTGTGATTTCTAATCACTTACGAAAGTGAATTTTCAGTTATTTCATGTGCTGTTCTCTCTCCATCTCTTCCCCTCTCTCCTTAGAGAATCACCATAGTAGCCACAAAAGTGGTTTTACACAAACAGGCAAGACACCCCCACCACCACAGTTTTTCACAATGAAAAAAAAAGTGAAGGCATGTACCTAAGAGTAAGGGGACGTGAACTCATACATTAGGGGGCTAAGACTGCTCAAATTCCTAGCTCTGTAAGTCTTTCTCAGGGAGTGCCGGCTCCCAGAGTCCACCAAAAAAAGTTTCAGACGCTGAGCAAAGAATGGTAACCTGCTTCGAAAACCTTCAAACCTCATTTCCTTGGGAACACCAATCACCTTTACAAGAAATCTGGGGTGGGACAGTTATTCACGAGAAACTCACTGAATAACCACGCCACCTCTGGATAACATTTCTGAGTGTTGATTTCAAGTGGATTGTATAAGCTCAGAGAAAAATACACAACTAGGGGCAACACGAGCTTGGCTCCAGATTTTTCTGTTTAAAATAAAAATAGGCTCCTCAGCTTGCAAAGTGCCAGACTGCAAACTGATACGTTTTGTGTCATCTCAAGTCCATCCACCACTCCAGCAAACCCTGACAGTGGGTCCTGCGGGTCCGGGTGAGTTTGGAAGGAGTGACAAGTTCAGGAGCTGGCAGCTCGGCTGTCACAAGCCCAGTCGTCAGCTAAGTATAGAAAGAGATCCCAAGCCGAGAGTCACCTAATGCGTCCCCTTTCCGAGGATTTATCTGCTCTTGGAGCCTCTGTGCATTAGCGATCAGGGTCCCATCATGAGTCATGACCGAGTTATCAAACCCAGCCACAGACGCCGGGACATCACTGAGGTCCCCGGGCCCCCAAACCCAGCCGGCTCCCAGAGAGAGCAGAACAAGTCTGAGCTCTGTCACTCTCCCAACAGGCAGACACATAAACAAACAATAAAAGGAATTGTTTGTTCCCCTCCAGGGAGGCAGCATGCATTAAAAAAAGACATGAACCTCATCCTACCTTGCATCCAAACATCAACGACAAAGTGTTGTTGGTGCAAGCAACTTTGCAGTGGCAAATCATTGGTGTAAAACAGTCAGGGTCCTTAACAACAGGGGACATTCCTTTCGAGCTGCGGCAGTGGCAGCTCGCTGGGGGACCCGACCACGGTGCTCACCCGGCACATGGAGCGACAGCCTAGAGGCGGCGGCCACTTCGATCGCTGCCCCCTGCGCCCCGCGCGGCCATCCCAGCGCCGGGGTAGAAGCCACGCCGCGGGCAAGTACCAAGCGTCTCGGGGTCTCCCTTCCCTGGGGAACGAGGCGTGGGGGGAGGGACAGAACCAAGAAGGGCTTTCCACCCACCCCCCTCCTTTTGGTGAATTTGGGGGAGGGAGGTAAATTAAAAAAAAAAAAAAAATTCAAAAAATAAAAATAAAAAGGAAGCCGGGCGCTTAGAGGAGGGTTCGAAGGAGGTGGGGCAGTATTACCATGTAAAAGAATGTACCCGCCTACTCGCCCCAGTCACACAAGATTGTCATGCGAGCTGAAGGGGGCTGAAATTATTCTCCCTGAAGGGGAAAAAAAAAAAAAAATACTGCAGCTCCCGGTTTGGTAAAAAGCCAATGGCTTGCTGCAATCCAGAGTCACCGTGGGGTGCGCTGGCCGGACGAGTGGGATGGGAGGGGGTGCGCGCGCGGCTCGCCAGCCTCGCCCAGCCAGCCCGCGCGCCCCGGGCCCCCCCGAGGAGTCCCGGGGTTCCAGTGGGGGTGCTCCGGGCGCTGCTGGGACCCGGAGATCTCACTGGGCTCCGCTTGCCTCTGCTGCCCTCGGAGAGGCGACCTCCGAGGCCGAGCTGCCCAGGTGAGGGGAGAGGCCCGCCTGGAGCCCTGCAGAGGGCATCCTCCCCTCCCTCTGACTTCAGCTGGCCTGAGTTGAGGCTGGTACCAGCACCTGGGCCAGAAGTGGGCTGAAAACGGCTTCCCGAGGGCCCTACACCTCCTTGACTTCAGTGTCAGCGAGTCTACTCACACCCTGGGTGGTAGATTTGGCCTCAGCCAGGGCTTTATCTGATACAACATTTTTTTTTTTTTAATTCAAAACGGAAGAGTCCGCCCCCTCCCTACCTTGACGTCTTAGGGGCTCTAGGAAGCTCCAGAAGTATTACTGTTGTTCCGGAAGTATGAATGACAAGATTGGTGGATGCTGTATTGATTTTTCCTTTTTCTTTTTTTTTTTTAAGTGAGGCTGTCAAAATTGCAAAAGATCAAAAAAATAAAAATCAGCATGTGGCTGGCCCAGCTGCAAAATTGCTTGTCAGAGACAAAAAAAAAAAAAAAAAAAGAAAGAAAGAAAAGAAAATGTGATACTAGGTTGCAGAATAGGAAATGGGTAGAACTAGCCCTCTCTGGGTGCCACCTGAGTGCTTGGCACTATGCCTCACAGATGGCTGGCGGAAAGAGAGCAAGTCATCAGGATGTGGAATCAAACTCTGGCTCTGGTGCTGAGGATGGCTTTGTGTAAGTCACAGTGTTTGAGCCTCAGTTTGCTTACTGGGCTCATTAACCCCTACCTTGCAGAGTTGTCATGAAGACTAGAGATGGTAAACAACACCTTCCTGTGGTAAGCCTTGGTAGTCCATGGTAGGGGCTCTGTACTTAAACAGCTTGTTGTCATTCAGTTGCTCAGTCGTGTCTGACTCTTTGCAACTCCATGGACTGCAGCACACCAGGCTTCCCTGTCCTTCACTGTCTCCCAGAGTGTGCTCAAAATCATGTCCATTGAGTCAGTGATGTCATCCAGCCATCTCATCCTCTGTTGCCTCTTTCTCCTCTTGCCCTCAATCTTTCCCAGCATCAGGGTCTTTTCTAGTGAGTCAGCTCTTTGCATCAGGTGGCCAAAGTACTGGACTTCAGCTTCAGCATCTGTCCTTCCAGTGAATATTCAACTTACATAGCTTGGCTCTTGTCTTAGCCCGAGAGGTAGATGTTACTGGACACATTTTTTGCAGGGAAAAATAACTGACGATCTGAGGGCTATGTCACTTCCCCAAGTCACACAATCAATAAGCCATGAAGGTGAGATTCAAAGAAAATTGATGGACTATAAGAAAGCATTATCACGGGGGACATCACACATCTCTCCAGAAGCATGCTCTAAATTTTCCAGATTTACTGGAGAACAATCAGGCTTGTCCCATTCACATAAACGTAGTCATTGCAAAAGTCTCTAAGTGGTCCATGAACTCATATCTCACTGGAAACAGAGCAACTTAGTCTTCAATATCTATAGCAAACTCTGCTGGAACCATGCTATCCTGATGTAGTTTTCCCAGAACACCAGACCACTTGTCTTCTAAATTAATAGAAGTTCAAATACCACTATGGCCTTCAACTTACAAAGTTCCAGGAAGAACAAAAGAAACAAAATAACTTGCAAGCTGTCAAGTCAAATGCAGTATCCTATAAAATTTCCCTCACCTGCTCACATCCAAAATAGCCCAGCCTCCCTCCTGTCCCAAGTTAATGGAAACTAAATCAAATCACATCTGAATTCTGTGGAGTGGTTTTAAAAATAGAAAGAAAGAAAGAAAACAGAAAAGAATGATAAAATAAAAAAATGCATTCTCAGGCTCACCCCCTACATTCTCATTCCATAGGCCAAGAAGATATCAAGAAATCTACATTTTTAATCAGCCCCCTGATGAGAGGAATATGTGTCCTGCCTCCAAAATGAAGACCTCTTGAAGGGAAATCAATATGGAGCAAAGCCTGAGCAAAGATCAGCAGGGAAAGACAGTTGAAGTTGAGGCAAATCTGGTTCTAACTGAAGAGGGCAGCTGTGTCTAAAGTTTTGTGATTATGACACTAAACGCAGGCATCCTTTCCTAGTTGATTTCTCTAATAGGAATTGGGGTTAACTCAATCCAGTGCATATCTAGGGGCCGCCAGGTCTCAGGAGGTGACACACGTGTGTGCTCAAACACACCAGGGCACATTGTAGGGGTGGGACTCTGCTCTGGTGCCTTCTGGGTAATCTTAAAGTCACGTTCATAGACTTAGTGTATCCCTCAGCATTTTTTCCCTTTCTGTTAGCATAAAATGTGTGATTGTGTGAGCATTTCCACCTACAGAGCGTCTATAATTATGGCTGTTTTTCCAAAGGAGAATGGATTCTAAAAAAGTTGTACAATATTTCCCTTATTCATTAGCCTATAATTTGGATTTCAAACACCCCAAAAGTATTGTATGCTCTATATTGTGATGTTCCAATAATAACTAACACAGTCTTTCCCTAATGAATTACCCAGGCTAAGGCTGACCTCCTATTCTAGGGCAGCATTACAGGCTGCTAGGCTCAAGTCATTTCCCATTTTACAGCTTGTGCTGGTTTAGGTTAACAAAGACAAATGACAAAATATAAAGGAGAATGTATATTTCATTTCTTGATCTTCTATTGTTTAACTCCAATCAATGAAACTTCATTGATTATACCTCTCTCTCCACACACACACACATGTGTGTGTCTATGTATATCTGTTATCTGTTCATATACATCTGACAAAGTGATTTTCCTTAATTCTTGTCTCTTGATAATAGCTCTGGAGTGAAGTGAAAGTGGGGGAGGAGAGAAAATGTTGTTTCCATGACAATGCATTCCTTGGTTACAGGCAGTAACCACTATGGTTAACAAAATGAATCACTGTTACCTTAAGATATGAACACACTGCATTATTGGTCTGAAAAGCTAATTTGGGAGTATACTGCATGGGGGTGTACTGCAGTAATTTTAGGAGAAGATATTACTAGGGAATGCCAGGAGATGATGCACTGATTTTAATAGTCAAAATAACCACCCTTAATTACCTCAGTGATTGGTAACATTGTTAATGTTCTTAAATGTTCTTAATAACCATCACCTTTGCAAAATAATACATGACAATTACACACTCTTAGACATTTTTCCTTCTTATAACTTTTCTCAAAATAGACTCACAATCATAAAAGTCAGGATTATCAAAAAGTATGATCAGGGTTTAATTTATTCTTTTATTTATTGCTATCATTATTATTCCTAATCTGAAATGAGGACAAGGCAAGAGGTATTAGTTATTGACTTAGCTTTTTTCTTCCTTTATTGAGCCCTTCCTCAGCAATTTTTTTAAGAAGAGGTGGTTCATGGTGGAAGGGAAAATAGTGTAATGGACACCAGGAGCCACGGTGTTTCTTCCTATTGACTGTGTGACTTTGAGCAAGTTACTCAGATTCTCTGAGCCACAATTCCCTTATCCATTAAGATAAAATGGGCACACTAGAGTATCTCTAAGTTTACTTTCAGTGCTGAAGTTCTCTGAGTGGTTCTTACAAATAAAGGATCTGAAAGATGTAAAGGAAATTTGAGAAGACATTCAGTCACCAGTCTCAGAAAATAAACTCTTCTATAGTGCTTACTATTTGATATGCTTTACTATATTACTTAACTTATATGCAGAGTACATCATGAAAAACGCTGGGCTGGATGAAGCACAAGCTGGAATCAAGATTGCCGGGAGAAATATCAATTTACCTCAGATATGCAGATGACACCACCCTTATGGCAGAAAGTGAAGAAGAACTAAAGAGCCTCTTGATGAAGGTGAAAGAGGAGAGTGAAAAAGTTGGCTTAAAGCTCAATATTCAGAAAACTAACATCATGGCATCTGGTCCCATCACTTCATGACAAATAGATGGGGAGACAGTGGCTGACTTTATTTTTCTGGGCTCCAAAATCACTGCAGATGGTGATCGCAGCCATGAAATTAAAAGACGCTTACTCCTTGGAAGGAAAGTTATGACCAACCTAGATAGCATATTAAAAAGCAGAGACATTACTTTGCCAACAAAGGTCCGTCTGGTCAAGGCTATGGTTTTTCCAGTGGTCATGTATGGATATGAGAGTTGGACTGTGAAGAAAGCTGAGCACCAAAAAATTGATGCTTTTGAACTATGGTGCTGGAGAAGACTCTTGAGAGTCCCTTGGACTGCAAGGAGATCCAACCAGTCCATCCTAAAGGAGATCAGCCCTGAGTGTTCATTGGAAGGACTGATGCTGACGTGGAAACTCCAATACTTTGGCCGCCTGATACGAACAGCTGACTCATTTGAAGAGACCCTGATGCTGGGAAAGATTAAGGGCAGGAGGAAAAGGGGACGACAGA